CCCCCCCCCCCCCCCCCCGTAAATGTGTGTTGCTATTGGGACATGGGCCATTGCTGTTCAAGCATGGGATCTTCCTGATGGTACAACCAACATAGGCAAAAAGAAGAAGGAGGAGAGAGTCGTAACTTCGGACTCTGTTATAATAAATCATTTTTTCTGAGGCCATCCTCCCTTTGAACCAATGTTAAAGGAATGCTCATACATCGGAGGTGGAAGGGCCGTTTCTCCAATGGGCAAAATAGAGCAGCGGTCCTCAAACTTTCCAGCTTAGTGGTCCAGCATGGGGGGGGAGGGGATGGGTCCATGAGAGTGGCAAGTGCGCTCGTGCACACAGCTCCGTTCATGCAAGTGGAGCGTCACACGCAAGCACAGGCCCCCACTGCTCGTGCGAGGGGAGCTTCACGTGCATGCTCACCCATCGCTTGTGCAGCCCAGTTCCAAACGGGCCCTGGCCCTGGGTTTGGGAACCTCTGAAATAGCGTATGAATTCCATGTGTTTGTAAATTAGATTTATTCCAGTGGTAGAATAGAAAAAAACAGCCAGCATATTCGTTTCTGTGGCAGGAAAAAGGACTGGGAGCCCCTCCAGCGATAGGCCAGTCATGCATGATTTTGGGGGCAGAACCGCGCCGGCTAAGCAAACCAAGGAGTATTTTTAAACAAAGCGTCCTTAAGTAAGGCTTGGCATCTTTGGGCAAATAACTTTCCATTTCCTCTGTTTTTGTACAGGCACTTCAAACTGACCAACAGGCTGAACCTCAAACCAACCTCTGGGCAAATGAGATATTTGGGGTTTGCATAAAAGGTGCTTTCTCTCCAGGGTTGCATCAAAGGAAAAGAGAGAGAGAGAGAGAGAAGCAGTTCTTAACCAGGGCTTCTTTCTTTGAACTGAACGCAGGACTATTTTAAGCCCAGCCATTTATTTATTCCCCTTAGAAGGTTTTTTAATTTATCTTTGGGGTTTCCCGTTGTAAAAGCCCAAAGAGATTTCAGCATATACAAACTCCAGCCAGTGTGTCATCAGGACCCGGTTTCAGTCTGAACTTCGGAGTCAGCAAGGCTATTTTCTCCCCTCTCAGATCTGTGCCACCCTGGAGCTGGATAGTCCTCTCGGAAGAGACGGCTCGGTTTTTCCATGAAAGGTATGATGGCGAAACCACAGTCTTCCCTCCCTTCCATGCAAATTTATCACTTTCTCTCGTTGCTTTGGCACCTTCTGCCTCCATGGTCTACCACTGTTCTTGAACGGGTGTCATCCTGACATCACTGAGCTTCTCAAAGAATATTGTTGGTTCCATATTGGGTGACTCCAGAAGTTTAATTTTCCACCGACCGAGGAGTGAGCTCAACTCTGCTGACCTGAGTTAACCAAATGGACTTGCTCTCCTGGATCTTCCAAGGAAAATGGACAGAAAGGCTCTCCTTTTCTGCAACTCTACACTTTACAAAGGGTTTTTTTTTCTCTCCCTCCAGTCTGGTCCTTCTTTCAGATCGGGGTGTCCAAACTTGGCAACTTTAAGACTTGTGGACTTCAATTCCCAGAATGGCTGGGTGGGGAATTCTGGGAGTTGAAGTCCGCAGGTCTTAAAGTTCCAGAGGTTGGGTATCACTGTTTTAGATCTTCAGCTAGCTGGGCCTGAGGTGAACATATGGCTGGAGCAAGCTTTGAACTTCCCAGGACAGCAAATTTCAGAGGCATGGAAGGATGCTCTTTTATTAAGGTTTCACATTATAGTCTGTCCTTCCCTTTCCTTTCCTTTCCTTCCCTTCCCTTCCCTTCCCTCCCTTCCTCCCTCTCGGTATAGGCTTCCCTTTAAGATCTCCTCCAAGGGGCTGTAAAGACCCCTGTCACTAAGAGCCATTAAGGCAGCCTGGCATCTTTGCAGCTGCAGTTCCCTATTCAAGTTTCAACACATCTCCCAACAGTGGGGTGTGGGGAAAAGGTTGGCATTGCTCACACATTTTACAAGTTTTGTCAGTAGCTCTATGTGACACTTTCCACAAGGCTGCTAATTAGAAGCAGAAAGGGTGTTTCTGTGTTTTGCGGCATCAGTTCCTTGGCTTTAAACATAGTAAAAGAGCTAATGGAAAAGTTGTGTAGACAAACAATAAAACCAA